GCCCCTGGTAGCGGTGGTTGTAGTGTTGTTGGTGACGGTGGTGGTAGTGCTTCCGCTGCTTCTGCCGGTTGTTGTTGTGGTGGTGGATTTTGTCCAATTCCAGATGACTGTGTTGTGTGTGTTTCTATGTCAATAACATGTAAGTATCCTCTGTTCATTACATTGGTTTCTGAACTTCTATTTGCATTCATAAGGATAGAGAGAATGGTTGACTTTGCCTTCTTTCGGAAAAAATTTCAGGGATATTATATCTATCGTATTGGCTTTCAGAATCTGAATAAGTTGGATCACTGTAATTTAAGGAAAGTGACTCACATTCGTGGTACACGTTTTCCTCAACTCTTGCGTAGCTTTGAACCGCTAGATCGACAGGGGTGGAACTTTCGGGCATATAATTATTATCTAAATTCGACGACATTTTCCTTGAAGATCTACATCGATAAAGTAGATTACATGTATTTCAGAAATTGAATTTACCTGAATGATATCACCTATACTTTATATTTTTTTTTTACATCATTCATTGTCATGCCAATTTTTAATTTTGATAATTTGGTAACAAAATAATAGTTTACATTTTCTTTAATTACTCCAAAATCACATATTTTTGTGGGGTCAAATTTGCGAGGTTTGATGGATAATATTGGATTGTGAGGGATTTGATTTCGTTGTTTGAGAATGTTTAGTAGTAATGCATTTGAAAATTTACATTTCGTGGTGGTCATGAGTTCGTGGGTCTCTCAGTGCCTCGAAAACATCGATTAATAACTCCAACCCCGAAAATGTGTGATTTCACATTATCCCATTTATATCAGATTGTAAAAAATCTAGCTTACCTCTTCACAAATAGACAAACCACTAATGCAGTAACAAACAAAATTCCAGCCGCTAGAAAAATAGCTATAGAGGCAAAAGAAATCCCTAAATCGAAATTTATCTCAAAATAAAACAATAACTTTATTGTAAACGATCAAACAAAATTCATATCAAGTATCAAACGAGGGAAATTTTTTTTTTCCATAATAAAAATATATTTCAAAACTTTAACTTGGACGAACCAATTTTAAAAAAAGATAGATAAATACATGTACAGTGTTGTTTATTTTATAATAACAATGATATATTTCAGAACTTTTATTTGCACTAAGAACATATATTAATACAATGTTTTACTTGATGCTATCTGTTGAGGACAGAATCCGGTTATGCTATGACAGTTCTCACAAATACATTCTTCCTTACATAATATCCTTTAGAACAGAGTATCGTACAGTTGTCCCCAGTGTTCCCAACACAAACTGACAAAAGACAAAAGAAGCAAAATTCCATATTTCAATGTATATACATGTATCTTGAATTTAAGAATATCTTGAATTTATCAAAAATTTATGTGTTACATTCTATTTGTTCCTTTATCTTTGACCTTATCGATATAATATGTGCTCTGGATATTTTATTCCTATTTTCATTTTAATAAAAGAATTGATTGAACTAAAAATTAAATGATAATTTAAAAACTTTCAACATCCAACTTTTTTCTGTTCTGGGTTTAAAACAACTTCCATTAAACGATAGTATGTACTTACCATATTAACTGTACGTCTGTACTGCAATGCTAGGTAATTACTGCTGTTATTTTAAATAGGATTTAGCGAATTTCGAAATAAAACATTCATCGAGCGTAAAGGTTGATTGAGGATATGAACTCATTCAGCAATCCATGCATCAAAATTGTGTGGAAATTTTCTGATGTAAAAAGACAACGAAACTAAACAGTGATCGATCTCAAGCCATATATGAAGAATACCAATCTCTGTAGAGGGCACAAAACAAGGACCCCAGGAAATTCCAGAGATGCGAGCAAACGTACGAATAAACTCCTTACTTGGAGACTCCAGGGTCATCTCATTTGTCATACAGTTTAGTTGTTACATGTGGTTAGCACTTATCATTTATAGCCAATAAATCACGTATAAAACAAGATGTGGGTCTTTTATTTCAAGATCACTGGGATATATCGAGTCAAGATAAGAATGAAAACTTGATCTCGAAGAATACATAAAAATTGTCAATGAGGAACTCCAGCATTCTTTTATTTTTATATCAACTTTAGAGAACACTCAGAGAGGATTTTTAAAAAGTGATTTTGGTAAAGACCAATCAAATGTTCTGTTTTTAAATACTGAAGAAGTAGTCCATATATTTCTTTGTCTATGGTATCGTATAATTTATCGTAAGGAATTGTATAAAGTGTATATATATTGCCGCATGTTTTGAAAAGTTCAGTGATTTTAAAGTTTCTAAAAGTTTTTTTTGTAGTTGCTGTGAATCAACATATGGTTTGCAGCATAGTATGGCAGAAATTTCTTCTTTATAGTGGTCAATATTTTTGTAAGAATAAAGAGCTTGGTAGAGCATTTACTGAACCAAGTAATACATCTTTGTTTGTATTTTGATTCTCAATCAATTTCAATATCATTTTTTTTTCTTTTTATACCTTCATAAATGACAAATGAAATATCACAGAAAATTGTTTTGGGGCTTTCTTTGTACTGCGTAGCAATAAATGTTTACCTCATTCGTTTAGGTATGCCTTTTTATTTTTTCTTTCCGTACATTTGCCTTAAGAGAACGCTTACCTGATGTATTTGAGTTGTCCAAACATTCTCCAGTAGTTGCATTACATCTCTGGCACTGACATTTTTCTTGACATTTCAGACCATAATACCCTGGTTTGCAAGGATTGTTACATTCCTTTCCAAAAGCTCCTATACAAGCTTTTAACAAGAAATGAAATATTTTTACTTTTTGTAACTAGATAATATTAATTGCAACACATCGTTTGAAAAATTAAAAAAAAACAGTTTACATTCTATTACCTGTGCCATTAAAAATTTTAATAAATTTGAAATTACTTAAAAAATATAACCAATTTGAAGAATTTTTGGATGTACGAATTCCTTTCTTTTCTACACTTTAAGATGAAAAAACTAATGTAAATCAATAAAGTTGGTATATACAATCATATTTATAGACTTCAAAGCGTCAATACTTCTTCAATTATATATCAAAATTCTTTATAAGGAAGTCGTTGGTAATATGATTAATTCGATATTCGTTAATTTCGTTTAATACTTATAAAAATGTTTTGGGTCCGATTTTTTGTTTACTTTCCTTATAACTTCCTAAATTGTTTATAAATTGAAATTTTATTCATTATCATTAAAGTAAAGGAGCCTCACTTGAAATTTCTTAGAAAAAGCTTCTCATATCAACGAGAATAGAACTCAAGTAAAATTATAAGAGTTCTTGTTTTCTCTATTTCTTACAACTTTGAGTTTTGTGTTTTGAATATTTGGTAAAGTATAACAATTCATCATTGAGTCAAATGCTGACTGACGTTTTTCATACTATTTGTTAGTCCATTATTTCTACACTGAATTGATGACGGATTTTTCCGTTATTTCTCGATCAGTACACACGATGAGTGTGACCGGTTGGCAGGGGATGATCACTCCTCCATGGCACCTGATCTCACCTCTGATGTTTTGGAGGTCCGTGTTTGCTCTGCTCCTATTTTGTATTGTAAAACGGACTTTGAAATTGAATACTGTTCGTTATCTCCATATCCTTCATTTATGCCAAACTGATGATTGTTTGTGACAGAAGAGATCCAATTGCCAAAATTTTTATCATTTTTATATATTTGTACTTATTGTCATTTTCTTTTAAAAAATGAAAAACCACACTTCATATTTTTTTATTTTGTGAATATAATAAACTATAAACGGTGGCATAGCCAGATCACTTTTTTTTAAAATAAATCCTGTTTGAAAGATTGCAAGAGTCATTAATGTGCAAATATTTATATATTGCGTCATTTTACTGACTTGCACCTGTAAGAACTTTTATCTTAATCAGAATAACTAAATTCGAAATAATGAGTTCTTTTCTCTTTACAGTGTGGTCTATTCTCGTAAATAGGTGTTTTTCAAAAGGTGTTAAATCAATATATTCATTTTTTCGGAAGTTTAAAGGATTTTTCCAATAGGATAAGTATTCTTCAGTGTATAATTGAAATCAGTAGAGAAAGATGTACTTAACAGAAATTACACTTACGGTAACATTTTCCTTGAATAGTTTTGTGACCAGTACAGCATCGCACTCTATATCTAAACTCAAAAAAAATTATCAAAATAAACTACATGTATTATATTCGGATAAAATTCGTGGGAAAAGATATAGGCATGTTGTTGTCAGAATAAGTACCTACCTGTCAGGATCGAAGCACTTTGGATCTACAGGTGTTACCTCTGCAAAAATGTTTTTAATCAACAGATGAGATACCAAAATGACCAGTCTAACACAATCCATGTGCCCCGATTGATGTATTGAAGATCATTTCCTAAGCAATTATAGTTTTGGAATTTGCACTTAAACTTTTGATGTAACTTAGCGGAAAAAATTCTAAAATCTTGTATTGCGACTTTCAGTTTGATCCTTATAAAATGGGAAAAATGCTTACATTAAAGATTAACTTGAGGTTCATACACTTTTTTCTATAAAAACAATGAATGGGACATGCTTGAATATATAAATTCAAAAGTGATGTAAATGAAATTTTATTGTAGAACTTGTGTCGGAAAAAAGTCTTTATCACAGAATGTCGGCTTTTCGCGTGCGAAAAACGTAAGACATTTTTTCACAGGGTTGACAGGGAAATATCAGTGGTTGGAATTAAATACTTACGAGGGGTGATCAAAAAGTTCGCAAACTAATTGAATAACTTCCATACAAGAAACATTATTTGGTTTTAATGTTGATTATATTTCAAATTAATCCTCCCCGATGTTAATGCACATCAACCACCGTTCTGCGCATGCGCGAATCACGTGATATTGGCGGTCACGTGACCCCCTCCGTAGCGTTCTGTCACAAAAGTTAAAAGATTTTTCCGAGTTTTATATTTCTTTCCATGTGAGTTAATTTTTATGACAAGAACAGTTAACTTGTCAGAAATGGTCATATCTCGGCAATAGAATGGGTGGATAATAACATCCTTTCCAAAAATAAGCATGGCGACCATTAAAACACAAATCTTCTGTCTCAGGAGAGACCTTTATTCAAGGTGGATAGAAAATGGGTGCATCTTTTTTATCATATCTAATATGTTTAATATCTAAAGTAAACGATATCTTAGGTATTTAATACTTATATCATTGTTCAAATATTCAACTATTTTTCAAAGTGCTAATTGGAGGTCTTTGATAGCAAATTCCTTAATTAAAAATACGTATCTTTTCAAACTTGCTTTCACTGGGCAAGATGACAAGTATCATTTTTAACCATCAGCCTTCCTTCACTAAAACGATTAATCCAATCATTAATTAAATTTATAGGAACTTATTTATCTCAATAAACTGTGTACAAATTATTATATGATACTGTAGAGGGATTTCTAAGATATTACAATAAATTGTACAGTCGTTTGTTGAACGAGTTCGACTGAGACAACCATTTTTCGTCACAAGTGACCTAAATAGTGACGTCATTTTCACATTGTGATGTCACAAACAAGGAGAGAAACTTTATTCAGCATATGCTATTTATAGACCTTGTGTATGGCTATGTGTGTACCGAATTTCATTCTAATCTGAATTGTGGTTTGTAGATATAGAGATAGTTTGCGAACTTTTTGATCACCCCTCGTACAAAAATACTACACGGGGAAATACAAAGTTAAAGTTTTCATTTACTCAATTTATATTCACAAAATGTTGTCTATAAAAATACTGTCTTTAATAAGGGGTATTACGTCCAAAGACATAGTGCTCTATCACCTTAATGTATTTGCTCCCAATTTGTATGGTTTAATGACCTTGGTTCAGGTACGTAGCATCAATGCGAGGGGGGGGCTAATTTTTTCCCAAAGATACATGTAACTTTTAACAATTGAAAATATCATTTGAAAGTCTGGTTGCCCCAAATTTTGTTATGGCATAGTCAATTGAAGGTATGGTGTAGAATATAAAAAAAAGGCATTTAAAGCAGTTCACCCCCCCCCCCCCCCACGTATTTGTGTTATACTCCCACGAAATAGGAATTTAAGGGTTAAAAAGGTTTTCTTTCGCAATTTTTTTTCTATTTATTCCTTTCTCGTCTTTTTTTTTTTTTTTTTTTTTTTTTTGCTTGTCATATTTTCCCGGTAAATTTAATTTATTTTGCTGGCTGATCCCGAAACTCA